CTGGACCACCAGGGAAGCCCAGTAAGTATTATTTTGAACTGATGTCCTGAGTATATTTATGTGCATCTCCTACCGGAATGTGAGCTTCTTTGCTTGTCTGCTGATGTTTTACCTCTAAACACAAGATGCTCCATAGAGTTTAGGATGAATAAATGAATGAACAGGATAAGCATGAATCACAGGCTTTGACATGGTGACAGCCGAGACTTTGATTAGTTCTGGAGGTGGGGAGAGGAGATGCAGTCTTGCGGGGCTGAGCCTTACCCTATGCGATCTGACGTTATCTCTGGGTGAACAGTGCCAGAACTGAATTGAATTCTAGATGCCCCAGGTGGCTCAGCGATGAAGAATCCAGCTGCCAGTGCCTGCCAGTGCAGGGGTCGTGAGTTCAATCCATGAGTCAGGAAGAGCCCCTGGAGGAGGAGATGGCAACCCACTCCAGTATGGTTGCCTGGAGAATCCCATGGACAGAGGAGCCAGGTGGGCTACGGTCTACGGGGTCACAAAAGAGTGAGACATGATTTGGTGACTAAACAACAAAAGTTTGATGATGAATTGCTTGATGTGTGACCAAATGCCACAGACATTTGGTGACTGGGAGTATCAGAGATGAAGTATTTCATGAGTAGTATTAGAGTAGAGTGGAGAAGAAAAACAGAAGAGTTTTCTTTACATATCTAGGATAGTCATATTCGTAGGGACAAGAAGTGGAAGGGTGATTGTCGGGGGAGAGTGGAGGGAATGGAGAGTTACCCATTGCTTAATGGGCACAGAGTTTCAGTTGGGGACGATGAAAAAGTTCCGGAGATGGAGGGTGGCCATAGTTACACGGCAATGTGAATGTCCTTAATGCCACTGAACTGCACACTTAAGTGGGTAGAAAGGTAAATTTTATGTTCTGTTTTACCTCAATAGAAAAGAGCTGGAAAATGGGGGAAAAAAAAATAAAGAGCACAGGCTTTGGGACCACAGTGCTCAGGGTCACATCAGGAACTGCCGCTTCCTACCAGACCTTAAGCACGTCCGTTCATGTCTCTGGACTTGAGTTTCGTTCTCAGGAAAATGAGCTCCCTTGGGAAGCCCACATGTCTCACTGGTGGGACTGTAGGTGGAGAATGACCTGGCAGTTTCTTGGAAAGCTCACCTTAAACTTCCCACACACCCTCGCAGTTCCGCTCCTGGGAATCTGCCTGAGAGAAACGGAGACACACGTCTACAGGAAGACTTGTACACACATGTTCACAGCAGCACTGTTTTTTTAAGTTATTTATTTTTAATTGGAGGACAATTGCTTTACAGTATTGTGTTGGCCTCTGCCATGCATCAGCCTGACCCAGCCATAGGTGCACACATGTCCCTGCCCTCTGGAAGCTCCCTCCCACCTCCCGCTCCTCCAGGTCATCACAGAGCTTCGGGTTTGAGCTCCCTGTGTCACATAGCAAAGTTCCGCTGGCTGTCTCATTTTCCACATGGTAATGCATTTGTCTCAGTGCTGTTCTCTCAGTTCTTCCCACCCTCTCCTTCCCCCACTGTGTCCACAAGTCCGTTCTCTGTGTCTGCATCGTCATTGTGTAGCAGCACTATTTGTAAGAGCCAAAGAATGGATCCAACCCAAAGGCCCGTGAATGGATGGAATGGAATATCATTCAGCCATGAAAAGAATGACATGCTGACACAATTTACAACCTGGATGGACCTTGAGGACACCAAGTGAAAGAGACCAGATATGAGAGGCCACGTGTTGTGTGACCCACGCCTGTGAAATGTCCAGAAAAGGCATGTCTCTGGTGACAGAAAGTACATATGTGTCTGCCTGGGATTAAGGATGGAAGTCGGAAGTGCATTTAATGAGCACAAGAGATCTTTGCCGGCTGGGGGCGGGGCGGGGGGTGATGAAAATGTTCTAAAATTGGATTGTGGAGATACTTGCACGATCCTGTGAATTTACCAAAAATCATTGACCTGTACACTTAAGATGAGTGAATTCTGTGAAATGTAAGTGACACCTCAACAAACCTGCTTAAGAAGAAAAAAACAGAGCCTATAATGGTATCTCTCTAAGGATGCCGTTGTGAAGACTGTGAGCTAATTCACGTCAATCTCCTTAGAGATGTAGGGTGAATGCTCAAGAAATGTGTTCTGTATTATTATGATCAAGTGTGACAAGATCGTCTGTGTAAAATGCTCACTCCAGGGAAAGACAGCAATCGAAACAGAGTTAAGATTCACAAACAGCCCTAATATTGCTTTACAGTAATACCAATCTCTTGGTTATTTTATCATTTCCTGGGGCTGTCCCACGTACATGGGCCTCAGTTTTCTCATCTGTAGAATGGGAGACGTGGGCTCCGTCTCTAAGGCCCTTTTCTTGCCGTAAGTCCTATATTTTGTTCTAGCAATGTTTCTCTTCAGATGTAGTGTCCTGAGGTATGAATAAGCATGTGGATGGGGGAGGGCAGTGGGCACAACTGTAGTGGGGGTGTCTTGGGGCTTGGAGACCAGGATGTGTGTGGGGGGGGGGGTCTTGAAAGGTGGGTTGTATGGCTGGGAGCTGATTGTGAAGGTTGTATGGGCCTGGTGCAGGGCTCAGGGTGTGGAGCCAGTCCAGCCTGGGTTGGAATCCCGTATCTGTTGTTCCCTACCTCTGGGACTTTGGACAAGAGCCCTGCTCCGAGCGGTGTTAACTCCTCTGGAACATGGTGAGGATGTTCCCTGTGGGGAGCTAGTATTCCCTGAGTTCATATCTGTACCAGTAAGAAAGCAACAGCAGCAAAAACTTGACCCCAGATGCCAACCACTGTCTTCAACTCTTTCCACAAAGTAATTTTTTTTTTTTTTGGTCATGCCATGCAGCTTGTGGGGGTCTTAGTTCCCCAATCAGGGACTGAACCCAGGACCTTGGCAGTAAGAGTCCAGAATTCTAACCACTGGACCTCCAGGGAATTCTCCACAGTAACACGTTGATCCAAAAGACTCAATTCACATTAGTGATCATGGAAGTAGGACAAATGCCTTCTTAGCATGAACCCTCAGTTTGCCTCTTCTATAAAACAGGGCTGTGTAATCACCTCCCTCAAGGAGTTTCATCTGTGAGATTGTGCTGAAACGGTGTCTGGCCTGCAATTAGGATGTGGTAATAGGGAGCCACTGAAGGTTCCTGGAGAGGGAGCTGGCTGGCCTGTAAGGAAAGCATACCCCAGCCCCCTTTCCTCCAGCACCCAAGGTTAAGTTATAGTTTCAGGTGGGATCTAGTGCACTGGAGAATGGGGCTTATTTGGAAACTGTCATTATTTGTGCCAATATGTGATTACCTCCCCACCAGTCTGTGAGCTCCCCGAGGGCAGGTGGTCCTCTGGTCTTTGGCGCCAACATGCAGCCTGGTGTGTGGTGAACGCAGCACAAATGGAGACCTTCCTACGTGCCGGGCACCATTCCAAGGGCTCGGCTACAATGTGTCTCGTTACATCTGGGAATTCTGCAAAGCGCCGAGTGGTCATCGTCTCCCTGGCCTGCCTCTCAGCCCCCATCTTCGCAGCTTCCCTCCTGCCTGCTCCCTCTGCCAGTTTCATCACACCAGGGAAGCAGACCCCCTCCCTGAGCCTCGAGCCTCTGTCTGCTGCCCTGGGAAACAAGGATGTCACCCACCCCTTGCCTGGTCTCCCAGGTGCCCAGAGACCTGGAGGGCAGGATGTCAGGAGGAGGAAGGAGGGGGGGCTTAAGGAGGACTGGCCTGGAGACATTCCACCCCCCCACTACTAGGACCTAAACACACACACACACAAACCTCGAGGTCTGTGTACACAATGACACTGCCCACCCCGCCCACGGTTCCTTGTGGTTTCTTAAACAGGGAGCAGCCACCCAACACACACACACACCCCTGCTCCTTTGCCCCTGCTCTTCCCTCTTTCCACTGGTTCTTCATTCAGGTCAAAAGGTCAGAGGTCATCTCCCCAGAGGCCCTGCTGTCCCCTTGGGCTCCATCTTCACAGCACCCCGCAGTTCTCTTGGAAGCCCTTATCAATACCTGATGTTACGGTGCAGACTGGCTTATTACCTAGGGCAGCGAGGTTCTGGTGGAGCTTTTTGTGATGTGGAATGTTCTAGACTTGTGCTGTCCAGCTGGGTAGCCACCAGCCACAGGGGGACACTGGGCACTTGAAACAGTGTGACTGAGGAATGCTTAATCTTATTCCGTTTTAATTATTTTATCGTAAACGTATCATTCTCCATTTCAGCAGGAGTGCCGCCTGGGGCCGGTGGCTACACCGGTCAGCCGGTGCTGAGTGGCTTTCCTCTTCTCCCGTCCCGGGGCCTCGAGCTGCGCCTGGGCAGTGTTCGGCCAATGAGTGCACGTAAGGGTCCCCAAAGACCCCCGGGCAGAGGGTAGCTTGTCGTCTGCTGCCCCTGGCTCTTCTCATGAGTGTCTTGCTTGGCTCGTGGGCCCGTGTCCCCTGAAGTGGGGCTCTGCCTCCTTCCACTCTGAGCCAAGGCTCAGGGCCTGGCAGACGCCGCCCTGCTTCCCAGACCCCCTCCACCGGCCCTCCCCGCACAGACAGCCCCACTCTCTCTAGTTCCACAAACTCACATTTATTCACAGACGGACAAGGGGACAGGGACAGACCTTTGCTCACTGGGGACTGCCCCCCACCCCAGGATCCGGCAGTTCCAAAGAGGTGATGGTGTCCAGTGTGTGAAATGGGGAGGCAGCCAGGCTGGGGGGGTGCTCCCCCTTCAGTCTCCATCCCTCTGGCCAATGTCCTCCGCCTCCGACTCAGCGTCCTGCCTTCAGACGTGGGGCGAGCAGTTTCTAACCAGCATCAGGGGCCTGGGGGTGGGCGATGGGGACAGAGGGGCGTCCAGCCCCCGCCCCTAATGTCGAGGGCTGGAAGGGGAGGGTGGGCTCACAGAGGAGGCTCCTCTCTTTTACTTCCCTCCTTCATGCTGCAAGCCGGGGTGGGGGCGGCTCCCACGGAGGGGCTGAGGGGGGCGGGTGCGGGTCAGGAGGCCAGGCCCCCCAGGCCGCGCAGATGAGCCTTGCTCTCAGTCTCCTCTTCCTCCATCTCGAAGGCCGAGTGGTCTTGGCTGTCAAAGCAGGAGGCGCTGAGGAAGACAGGGGGTGCTGCCGCCGCCGGCGACTGGGGCGGGGACCCCGGGGACGGCGGCTCTTCCTTGATGTGGGCGAGGGGCAACGGGAGCCCCTCGGCCTCCTGGCCCGCGGGGGGCGGCAGGGCGCGCGGCGGCGAGGCCGGGGCCTGCAGTGCCTGCTGCGCGGCGGCGGCCCGCTCCAGCTCGGCTCGGTGGCAGCGCTGGTGGCGCAGCAGGCTGTAGGCGCGGGAGAAGCGGCGCGAGCAGTGCGGGCAGGGGTGCGGGGCTGGGCCCCCCGCGTGTACCTGCGCGTGGCGCGCCAGATCGGCCAGCCGCTTGAACTCCCGCTGGCAGCGGACGCACTGGAAGGGCCGCGCGCCCGAGTGGGTCACCCCGTGCTGCCGCAGGTGCGCCCGGCGCCGGAAGCCCTTGCCACACTCGGGGCACCAGAAGCGGGGCTCGCCGGCCGGGGCCCGGGCCGGGGCCGCCTCGCCTCCGTTCTGCCCGCCTGGCCCGCCCTCCGCGGCGGTCCCGCGCTCCGCCCCTTCGCCCCCCTCGGGCCCCCTCCCTGAGGTCCGGCCGCCCGCCGCCGCCGCCTTGTCGTCCTTCTTGGCCGCCGCGGGCAGCGGGGCCAGCAGGCTGAGCGCGCCGTGGACGCGGCGGTGCTGACGGAGGTAGGAGGCCAGGCGGAAGGCCAGGCCGCAGTCCGTGCACACGAAGGGGCGATCGGTGGAGTGGACCAGCCGGTGGCGAGACAGCGACCAGGGCCTGGCGAAGGCCTTGAGGCAGATGGAGCACTGGTGGCGCTTGGGGCGCGGCGGGGGCCCCCCCTCGCCCTCCTGGTCGCCCTCGGGGCGCAGGCACGGGTGCGCTTTGAGCTCGCCCTTGGTGGCAAAGGCCTCCCGGCAGCGGAGACACAGCAGCGTCCAGTCGGCCTGCAGCAGGACCTGCTTCTCCTCCTGCCGCCCGGCCGCCAGCGCCAGCTCGGCCCTGAGCTCCGCCGCCCCAGCCTCGGCCTCGGCCCCCTCTGGCTCGCGGGGTCCCGCGCTCGTGGCAGCTGCCGGCGTGGCCGGCTCCCCCGCGGCCCACGGCTCGGGCCGCGCCGCCGCTGCCTCCTCTGCCGCCGCCTCTTCCTCCTCCGCTCCGGCGCCGGGTGGCTGCTCAGCGGCCTTGTCCTGTGGGCCCCAGCTGGACTCGGCCGCCTCCTTGGCCGCCCTGTCGATGGCCAGCTCGACGCCGCCTCCTGCGTGCTCCTGGGCCAGGTGGCGCCGGAGCTGCGCGGGCTCAGGGAAGGTGCGCGGGCAGGCGGCGCAGCGCAGCGGGGGCTGTGGCCCGTGGCCGCGCAGGTGGCGCGAGAGGTGGGCCGGCCGCCGGAAGGCCTTGGGGCACAGGGGGCAGGCGTGGGGCCGCAGGCCCGAGTGGCTCAGCCGGTGCCGGGAGAGGTAGTAGGGAAAGCGGAAGAGGCGGCCACACGTGGGGCAGGGCAGGGGCGCCCGGGGGGCTCCAGCGCCCCCCCGGCCACGGCCCCGGCCCCGGCCTCGGCCTCTGCCCCGGCCCCGGCCCCGGCCCCGGTGAGGTGGGCTTCCCTGGGCAGGTGGAGGAGGTTGCGGATCCATGCCTGTAAATAGAAAGGGAAAAGACAGAGATATTGTTGCGGGGGCGGGGGGCTGGGTGGGGGGCAGTGCGGAAATGCAGAGCCAGAGCGATGGAGAGACAGAGAGGGTCAGAGGTTTAGCGGGGCAAGAGAGGGAGAGACAGACGAGGAAAGGGGCCGGGTGAGAGGCAGAGACCTGGAGAAGCAGAAGACGGGACGGCGAGAGGCAGAAAGCAGGAGAGAGAGAGAGAGAGAGAGACAGAGAGATGGGGACACCCAGCAGAGACAGAGATGAAGAGAAAACAAAGAGATGCGGGCAGAGATGGGGCCAGCAGAGACCAGCGGGACCGCGGCAGGATGGAGAGAGGGAGAGACAGGAGACAGAGAGAGCGAGACGGAGACAGAAGAAACAGGGGGCAAAGTCGGTGAAGCGCTTTTCCTCCCGGGGGGCCCTGGCCGGAGCGTGCCGGGAGGGACCGGGACACAGTCCCCGGTGCCAGAGAGGAGGGGGTGGGAGGCAGGGTCCAGAGGCCCCGGAAATGGGAGTGTGGTGCCCCGGCGGCCAGAGGCTGGGAGAGGCCGGGATAGGAGGGCTCGGAGTCCTAGGCCGGGAGGGGGCTCAGGGGCCCGGATTCCGGGGGCTGGGGGTGCGCGCGCGCGCTGGGGAGGAAATGCCGGGGACCCGCATCTAGACTTGTGTACCTGGGGGGGTGTGGATTCCGGGGTCCCCGGGGGTGGAGAGGGCTGGGGGAGGGGGCCGGGCGCCTGAGACAAGGGAGAGGAGGGGGCTGGGGGCCCGGGCCTGGGCGCCCCCCAGGGGAAGGCCGCTGGGGCTGGGTGGGGAGCCCCCGGCCCCCAAGGGGGGCCCGTCCCCGCGCTGGGCCCAGCCCTCGGCCCCCCGCAGGCGTGATCGGCAGAATCGGGGAGACGGGTCGCGGCCTCCCCGGCAGAGTTTTGAGCCCGGGGCCCGCGGCTCGGTCCCGCGGCCCGACGCCCGGCCCTTACCTCCGCCTCTCCGCTCCTTTCTTCCTTCCCCGCGGCCGGCCGAGCGCGGACGGCGGTAGCGGGGAGGCAGGGCCCCCGAGCGCGGTGGGGGCGGGGGCGGGGGAGGAGGCTGGGCTCGGTGTCGCCGCCTAAGCCTTCCCCCCGGAAACCCGGCTCCTCGCCCGCGCCTGGAAGGGGAAAAGGCTGGCGGGGAGGCCGGAAGCGGGTGGACGCGGGGACCCAGGCGGCGGGGACGCAGGGCGGCTCGGACGCCTGGGTCCTCTAAGGGGAGGGGGCTGGTGGCCCGTCCTCTGCCTCCAGGAGGTCAGCCCCCACCTCCCACAACACACACACGCACACACACACACACCCATTCATTCCTTCAACACATGCACATTCATCAGGTCCTGTCAGCGCCAGGCACTGTGCGGGGCGAGGCGGGTGGCCCGGAAAGATGGTGAATGCGGCCCTGAGTGGCAGGCGACGGGAAAAGTCTCCGCAATCGGGACGGGAACCTGACTGCAGCCGTCACGCGGCTGCCTGAGAAGGTGACGTTCCCTCTGTGAGCCTCAGTCTCGCCCTCCGTGATTAACCCCCGCGTGGCTATCCCCTTGACGCTAAGAAACCAGTTACTCGTTGTGCTACGTAGATTCACTCCATCCGAAGCCACCGCTGTTTACTGAGCACCTACTACGAGCTAGCTCTGTCCTTGGTGCTGGAGCGTCGGTAGCAGAGACAGAGGCCGCTGGACCCAGTGCACAGGCAGCTTCCGGTCTGACGGAGCAGGAGACAGACACAGGCCCTACTGCCCTCCCGGAGAGTTTGCTCCGAGGCAGGAAACAGGATGCCCTGGGCTTACCGGAGCAGACTCGCCTCTGAGTGAGAGTGACCCCTGAGGGCTTCCTGGAGGCAACAGTGTTTCTGCTGAAACCTGCAGGATGCAAGCCAGGAGTTAGAAATGGGAAGAGGGAACAAATGGAAATAGGAAAGAAATATACCAGCACTACTCAGAAACATGCCAGGAGAAGTGTCTGTATCAGGTTAATTGTTGCAGTATTGTGCCTTGCTTCAAAACAGGGGAAGTGAACTAAATGCCCATCCGTCGGGGATTTGAGTGATAAATCTACCCAGCGGAATGCTGTGTGTTCATAAAAGAAAAAACAAAGAAGTTCGCTGTGTAAAAATAGGGAAAGGTTCCAACTGATAACAGAGAAAAATTTGGAAGATGGAGCACAGCCTGCCCCGTCTGCACTTATCAGCGGGCTGTGTCTGGGCGAACTGGGAGGAGAGCGAAGAGTTGGCAACATTGTCTAACTCCCAGGACTGAAAGTGACTACACTCTCTCCTTTTGTACTTTTGGAACTTGAAACCATGGTGAATGTGTTCCATACTTCACCAAGTAAAGAGAAAAGAAGCAAATGGGGATAATAAAAAATAAATGAAAATAAATGATAACTTACAATGTAAGTGCTTTACAAACAGAGGCCCATTTGTTCCTCCTGGTGTTAAGAAGTGGGTAATGTTACTCTCCCATTTCACAGAGCAGTAAAGTGAGGTCCTGAGAGTTTCAAAGTGGTGGGTCTAAGTCTCTGTATCTCACAAAGAGATGGGAGAGATGGTAGTAGGTGAGGAGCTTGATTTTTAAAAGCACTTAGTGGATAATGCTGTATTTTAAGAATCAAAAGTTTAAACACATCCATGGAAACAATAAGCACCAAATTTGGGGTAGGGTGACCTCTGAGAAGGGAGAGGCAGTCAGGGGAGGGGAGAGATCTATGGAGTCAGGAGTACCTTATGTTTTAAAACTAGTAGTCAATATATGAACGTGCACGTGTGTATATTTTTATTTGTTAAAATACACATAACACAAAATTTACCACTTTAGAGACTTCCCTGGTGGTCCAGTGGTTAGGAATCTGGGCTTCCACTGCAGGGGGTATGGGTTTGACACCTGGTTGGTGACTAGGATCCCACATGCTTCGTGGTGCAGCCAAAAAAAAAAAAGATAAAAATTTACTATTTTAGCCATTTTGAACTGTGTACAATTCAGTGATATAAGAACATTCACAAAGTTGTACAATAAACCCCAGTGTCTAGTTCCAGGACTTTTTCATCACCCTGGACAGAAACCCAGATCTATTAATCTGTCATTCCCCATTCCCTTCTCCCCTCAGCTCCGGGCAACCAATAATTGTCTTTCTGTCTCTATGGGCTTGTCTGCTGTGGATATTTCATATCAGTTGAGTCATCCAGTGTGTAGTCCTCTATGACTGGCTTCTTTCATTTATGTTTTCCAGGTTCATCCATGTGTAGCCTGTGTCAATACCTCATTCTTTTTTATTTAATTATTTTCGGCTGCACTGGGTCTTTGTTGTGGTGCACGGGCTTCCCACTGCAGCGGCTTCTCTTGTTGCGGAGCACAGACTCTGGGCATGCAGGCTTCAGTAGTTGCAGCACATGGGCCCAGTAGTTGCAGTTCGTGGGCTCTAGAGCACAGGCTCAATAGTTGTGGTTCACGGGCTTAGATGCTCCACGGTATGTGGAATCTTCTCGGACCAGGGATTGAACACATGTCCCTTGCATTGGCAGGCTGATTATTATCCATGCGTCACCAGGGAAGTTCAATGCTTCATTCTTTTTATGGCTGAGTAATATTCCATCGTATGGGTTACTGTATTTTGTTTATCCATTCATTTGTTCATGAACCTTATATAGTTTCTATCTTTGGACTGTTGTGAACAGTACTGTTACGAGTATTCGTTACGTGTAAAGTTTTTGTTTTAATGGCTGTTTTCAATCCTTTTGGGTACATACCTAAGTGTGTGTGCTATTATTTTATTATATATATTTTAAAGCCTTAAAGTATTTTTTCCTAAATAAAAGAAAGAAACGAATTCAGGAATGAGGGTGAGGGAAAGCAGTTTCAGAGGGATCAGCGTGCGGTCCGTGTGTGCAGCGGCGGCGGCCGTGGGAATCTGTGCCTTCGGGGGACACATGGGGCCTTGGATTGGGGCATGGCAAGAGCCTCACGAGCAACGACGTCCGGCCTCCCAGTCCAGGCTGAAGGTCGGACGCATTCCGAGTGTACTGAGGGGCCATTGAAAAGGTTTTAAGCTGGAGAGTCACATGATCCGATTAGTGTTTTAGAGAAATTCCTGTGGGACCCGCGCGGAGGCCGGGCCGGATGCAGGAGAGACGGAAGGGCCGAGCAGGGAGGGGGCGGGGCGCGGGTCCAGGTGAGCGAGGAGGCCTGGGCGGGGCCGGCTCGGGCAGGGGGCGGGGTCCTCGGGCTGGGGGCGGGTCCTGGCGTTGATTGGTCCAGCGCTGCCCTTCTGGATGCCACTCCCGTCGCTGTCGCCTCCTCATTGGCTTCCCTGCTTCACGGCCCCGCCCCTCCCTCCGTCAGGTCTCCAGCACCAGGAAACCGTAATCATTTTTAATCCTGTGCTGAACGCGGTCCCGGGCTCGGGGCTCTCACCTCTTCCTCCCTGCCTTCCTCACCTACGCCTCCGCTCCCCGCCCTACCTGCCTGAACCCTGGAGCCTCCCTTAACGGGCTCCATCCTCACCGCGCTCTTGGCTCGTTCACTCTCAGGGCTTTGCACGCGCACTTTTCTGCCTGGAATGCCCCCCTCCTAGGTTGTCGTGTCCGACCCTGTGGCCCCACGGACTGTAGCCCGCCAGGCTCTTCTGTCCTTGGGAGTCTCCAGGCAAGAATACTGCAGTGGGTTGCCATTTCCTCCTCCAGGGGATCTTCCCAACCCAGGGATCGAACCCGCTTCTCCTGCACTGCAGGCAGATTCTTTACACCTGGGCAGCCCTCTCCTAGATTACCATCATGTTTTCCTTACTTCCCTCGTTTCTTACAGATCTCCTCAGAGACATCTGTCTCGTCCACCTTAGCTCACATAGTCCTTTTGGGAATTCTCTGGCGGCCCAGTGGTTAGGACTCCGCGCCTCCATGGCAGAAGCATCCGTTCGATCCCTCATAGGGGATCTGTGATCCCACAAGCAGCGCAGCGCGGCCAAATAAATAAAT